TCGGCGGTCAGGAGGGGGCCTGGCCGCTGCCTCGCTCACCCCGAGACCTGCAGGCGAGCGCAGGATGAACAGTAAGGGGGTGTGGGGGAGAGCAGCGAGCCCTGCTCGGTGTGGGGGCCGCGGGCAGAGGGCGCTTCCCGGGGTGTGGCGTGGGCCGCGGCGCCTCCGAGGAGGCCGGCCGTCACCGAGGGGACCGGGGTTCCCGGCCGCGCGGGGGGCAGCCGGGCTGAGGTGGTGGGAAGTGCTTCTGTAGTCCCTGGAAACCGCCCTGGCTGCAGCCCGCTGCCAGCTCCTCCACCTCCCTACCCAGACCGCACCTGTAACCGCTGATCTCTGCATGCCAGCCCTCCTCTTCAACAGGGTGATAATAAATCTTTCTCCCGCTCCTGTGAAGCAGTGGCCTGCCTGTCTTCTGGTCTCTCAGAGTACTTTGTCAGAAATTGCTAAGTTTTTCTCATTCTTTGTTCTGCAAGCCTTTCCTTCCATTACTTAGCATCCTTCTTCAAATCATCCTGTGTCGCATCCGACACATTTGGCATGTTTCTGAGTGCAGCAAGCCTTTCCTTCCATTACTTAGCATCCTTCAAATCATCCTGTGTCGCATCCAACACATTTGGCATGTTTCTGAGTGCAATAATTATGTACCGTGGCCTTGTGACAGTGGCTGAAGCTGAACTGCTTGTTGCTTTCTTCATTTTTTTTTTGGTGTTATTTCTCTCTTCCCATGTGCATCCATGTCATATTTAAATGTCATGGCTTTTTCTTCCTCAGCATCGCGGCATCTCTGCAATAAAGTATCCACTTTAGGATTTTGTAATATCCTGCTTTGACTATTGTAGTGTGATCTTTTCTGTAGTTTTACATTGGATTCTTTAATTCCAAATTAGGATTGATTTTCTGTGCTCTCTGGTTACAGTAATAGGCGTGTAGTCTTTGAATTCCATCACTTGCCCATAATTTTAATTTACATTGTTCTTACTTTCCTGGGTCCTGTAGCCATTGCACGTTAAACTGTCCTTCTGTTGAACGATTACCTCCCTGCCATTTTCATGGCCACTTTTTTGGTGTTAGGCTAGTTCAGATTGCTACAACTTGCTCTTCCTAACCTTTATCTGCCTTTCTGCTAACGATTCTAAGCCTGGACATCTGTGTGTGCTGAAACAGAAGGGAAGGAAGGAAGAGGTTAGGTAATATCTAGTTTGTTAGAGATGCCATGAAAGAATTGCTAACCGGTGATTAGCTCTTTGTTAAGGTTATATGCAAGTATAATTAAAAGACTGATATTTTATTTCATCCTCAAAGATTTCAGTCTTAAAATGCTGAAAAAATTTTTAACGTTTCTGTATTTCTTCATCTTTGAGTACCACAAATTCAGGTAAACTAACTGGTAATTAGTTTTGGTTTGTAGCTGTAGCAAGTTTTGTAGCTTAAAATTGACATGCTTTGATCTAACTGTTCCCTTACAGTGTGTGTTTGAAGTCTGTTGTTTTGGTGGGGTTTTTGCCACCTGGTCACTTTCAAAGGATCAGTTATGTGGTGCTGAAGTGGATTCTTAAAAATCTCCAGAAATCTTGGCTTGTGGATGCAAAAGTAAAATTGTTATTAAATTGTCAGTACATTTGAAGTCTAAATTTTATTTCTTCTTATTATATATAAACTTTTATGTTATTATTTTTACAATGTCTGAGTTCCTTTTAGCTTCTCATTAAATGATAACTAACTTGTCACATGATCATTCTCATTTTCTCCCAAGGAGAAGAGTTCTCTCCTCTTTAGTGACCTGTTTTGTTGAGAGTTCACACGTTGATTTTATGCATCAAGGACACATTTCAAATAATGCAATTTTCATTCCTGATTCTGCATTTTATTCAATCAATTGAAATTATTCAGGTCTTTGCTGACATTCTTTTCACTGGATGGCTTTCTCTTTAGTGCCAGGTTAAAGCCTCAGTCGTTTGTTATGTGTGGGGTTTTTATTTTGTATTTATAGCACTCTAGTGTAAAAAATTAAAATAACAAACCTTACATGCTTACACGAAAAGATCTTTAGTGCTGTAAGATTTTTTTTTTTTAAAGTGTGTAAAGAATCATCTCTTCTTATATTATTAGAACTCTTCAGTTTAAAATTTAAAAAAAAAAAGTCAATTATTTCAAGCCCTCCACTGTCAGCTGGACTTCTCTTGTAGGACCAGAATACAAGTATAGAAGAAAATATAAACATAAACAAATTATGCAAACATATACTATCTGGCTTCTTTGTATATCTGAAATATTTTCAATGAATTTGTAGAACAATGCTTTCCCTGTGTTTCTCTGGCTAAGTACTTTGGTTCATTAACACCTGTGGCTGGGGTACCACAGATACTAAGGTCTTATTTTCAGATCATATGATTTGAGGTTGGGGTTTTTTATGCCAGAGAATCCGTTACTTGAAGTTAAGAAAAGAAAAATAGAGGCTTGCCATTCATTAGAATCAAAGAGTAGGTCATCAAATAGCTATTTTTTTGTGTGTCTCTGCCTTGGGTATCTTTTGCTACAGGGACTGGCCCTGACATTATATGAACATACAACATAGCCAGTGTGTATATGACTGATTGGAGAGTTATCTGTCACTACCAAAAAAATGCATTGGTGCTTTTCCTTTGGAATTCTGGAAGAGTGGGATTTAAGTATTCTGAATTTACAATGTCCATCTTGTATTTAGCTATTTAGATAGGAAATTAAAACTTACGGTGAGGGTAGAGAGCACGGTGCAAGGTGTGATTTCTGCTGACAAAGCATGTCACTTGCTCAGTCACATTGCTTAGTGAAGGCCGAAGGCTGGGGATCACCTTGCTTAAAGCACTAATTGACCAGCTATCAAATAACAGCCACATGAATTAAACAGTCTTATGGTCTCTTCCCTATTTTGGAGTCTCTGTTGGAGATTGCCTCCCTTGCCCATAATGATTTTCAAAATCACAGAATGGTTTGGGTTGGAAGGGACCTTAAAATCGATCTAGTTCCAACCCCCCCTGCCATGGCAGGGACACCTCCCACCAGACCAGGTTGCTCACAGCCCCATCCAACCTGGCCTTGAACACTGCCAGGGAGGGGGCAGCCACAGTTTCTCTGGGCAACCTGTGCCAGTGTCTCACCACCCTCACAGTAATTCTGTTTCTGCTTTTGAAATAGTTCTACATGTAAATTGTCTGTGTAGAGTGCATTGGGTGGTGTCATTGATTTTGAATTACTCTGTTTGTTCCGTTTCAAATTTAGATGGCCTAATTAGTTAGTTTGTGATCCAGCATGATGGATAATAATCAGAAGACCTAAGCAGCGGGTGATAAAAATGAGAAGAGCAACTGACAATTCTTACAGAAATGCTACTACTGTATTGGAGAAATGGTGATTTGCAAGAGCAAGGTTTCTACTAATTAAAATATAAGTGTTTGGAGCATGAAGAAAGGAAAGACTTTTTTTTTTTTTTTTTTTTTTGACAGGAGTAAATGTGAAAGTCGGGGAGGAGAAAAAAGGTGAAGACAACACAAATTGATTGCTAATTGGAAGACAGTGTTAGAATGTCCCTGCCTAAGTAACTTCTTCCTTCTGCAAAATTTCTCGGCAGGCTGTCTCCACTGTGAGGCTGTATTTATACTTGTAAATTAAACATATCTGGAAATCTTCTTGGACACAAAGAGCAACTGGCATGAAATGGCCCACACCTATGCTAGGAAATTCTCTTATCTTCCAAAACAAGACAGTAGGACAGAAACTGCCTTAGGAATGACCTTAGAAGGAGTCCTCACATCAGGCTGGGAAGGTGCCTCAGAGAGTACTGGTTGTCACAGGGCAAATCCATGCCAGGGACTGTTGTCACAGCAACTAAGACAGCAACTACACCTCGTTGAATTTACTGCTATCCACATAGCTCCTGCAGTTATTCTGATTCCCCTGAAGGACTGAATATGCTAAAAGAGGCTTCCTGCTCTGCCTCCCCCAAAATGACTGGGTTTTGATCTTTCTTAAATGAGGAGACTATGTCAAAAGCAACAGCAGCATAAAGCTAATCAATCAGAACTGGGTTTTGCTCAGATGAAATTACTGGAAGAATTACCAAGGATGGAAACTGTGAGGGCTAAAAATAAAGGAAACAGGAGAGCAAAGTGGGTGAAGGGAACCAGGCAGTGGGATTGTTAAGGAACAGTTAATCACACAGCTGAAGGAGAATAAAGGAGGAAAGAAAAGAAACGTCAGTTCTGAAGGAAATTAGGAAAAGACTCAGAAATTAATATAAATAAAGCTTTCTTCATAACCCTTATGTATCTGCTTTATCTCTTAAAATTCTGCAGAACTAAAGTGACTGATTTTTCCCATCCTTTTGTTTGGTGCACTTCATTATTAAAGCCAAGCCTTATTTTTGACCTAGTGCAAAACTAATGTCTGACTCAAATATGGGAAAAAAACTTTAAAATCAGCAACTGCTTTGCTAAAAAAAAAAAAAAAAAAGGGGCAAAAGCAAAACCAAACAAAAAAACCCCAAACAACAAAACAGCCAAAACCCCCATGTTTTTTGTAACATGAAACAACAAGAAGACACACTTGCTTTTCAAGATAATTGTATGTTTTCAGTACAGTGTAAAGAAAGGAGTTTTTTTGGTGAAAGAAGCAAAGCGGAAGTTCAGGTGTGAGTTGCTAATGTGCTGCAGCAGAGAAAGGGTATGAAGTGCTGTGTGCAGAGGCATCGTGTCTCTGAGCAAGGAGGCAGTAGTTTATTGTCTAAGGTATATATAAATGTTATGTGTTAACAAAAAACCCTTTCATTTAAAAATTTTCCATTAGTTGGAGTTTAACAAATCAAGCATGGCTTGATATGCAGTCTTCATAACAATTTCTATTTTAAACATACTGAAACAGTATTTTTGTTTTCAGAATATGAACCAGTTGGTAGGATAGGAGAGGGAACATTTTTTGAGGGTCTGAAGACACTTGAGCCTTAGGGATGGAAAGTGCTATGCCTGTAAGCACAGGAAGCAACATTTTGAAAGGTATGCATAATTAATCATAGTACTACAGAAAATCTCATTTAAATTTGGAAGGCAAATGTGAAGTTAAGTGCAATTTTTTGAATACACATGTATTAAAAAGGTTTGCCTGTGGTACAGAAAGGGAACTCTGTTGCCGATTATGCATTTGGCATTGGGGTTATTTCCTTGAGTACTCTGATGTCACCCACTGTACTAATTGCTGCCTGGCATCAGGTCGAGGGTGAAACAAGAAGAATGAGGACCAAATAGTTGGTTTCTGCCTTTCCCAATGCACTGAATATACTTGTGCTGGTTTTCTTTGTGCTGTAAATAATAATAGGAAGAGGAAATGGGTCAGTCCTCCCCTGGACAATACTTTTTCCAGGCTTACTTTAAATACCATTTTAATGCAAGTTAAAAACACTGTATTTATCCTTAGTCCATGTATAGCATTAGTTCTACTTTGTATTTGCATTTATATTTAATTACATCCATCAGCAAGAAGCTGTATGATCACAAAATACGTGGGTTTTATCAGTTAGGGAGATTAAGGAGAGGGCTGTGTGGATGTAGACACAGGCTTGACATTCTCCTCCAAATACACAAGTGTTAAACAATGCCTTTTGGGTCACTGACTTTGTATTCTCAGTTAAATACATTAAGTTCCTAGGGAAATCAGTGCGAGTGACACATTTGTACGTACAAAGTAAAATGGGACATTTTGCTCTGGGGTGAGATTTCACAGTGTAACTCAGAGCTTCAAAGACTGTACGTTAAAAAAAAAAAAAAAAGGGAGCTCAAATACCTTCAAGTAATGTGGCTTCTGATTCTCTCTTGAGTTGTTAGAGAACTGTTGGTGCTTTTATATGTTACCTACAACTGACCAAATTGTCCAGTTTATGATCAAAAGAGTGTTTAAACTAACAGCTTAACTGTATCAAGGGCAGATGGTATACAGTTCAGTGGCAGGGCATAACAAGCAGACTCTTTTTGTTCGTTTAGCATATTTAAAACATCTTTTAGGCCTTTAACCCTTTGATAAATTGACTGACAAATTCTTTTGATGAAATGAACTCTTTTAGCAACAGATAAGTGTTTTAAACAGAACCTGCCTGTACAAGGTATTTCTTCTAGTTTCAAACTGGAAAATACTGTTTTGGTCTTTAGCTTTAAGACTGACTGTGAAACCACGTATATGTTCTGTTCTGATCCACTGAAGAGTGTGCAAAGCTCTTTGTTTCCTGCTTCCTCCCTAGAGTTTCTGCAACGTAATAATTAAACTATGGTTGACTAGTGTCTATTTTTCATGTAAGAAAACTTAATTTTAAATATTAAATTTAGCAAGGCTAGATTGTCACTTTCAGCATCACGCTGAGCAGTAGTTGGAATGTATGCTACACCAGTGCAGAACAAATAGTGTCATCCATACTCTTATGCAACACAAAATTCCTCCCAGATAGCTCCTTGGCATGGTAACTGATGTCTGGAGCACGGTGCATTACTACTTATCTTGTTTGGGTAAGGCCAGCTACTCCAGACTGCAAGGAGGAATAAAGCTGCTGTTCTGATCACTGATTTGCTCTGTAAAGAAACAAAGCAGGCAAACAACTTACCAGGTCTTGCATTTGAAAGTTTAGTTGTAGAATAAAGTGGAGTAGATTCTGACAGTCTCATGGCAGGGAAGAAGGACAATTATAATCCAGTTCCTGATTGCAAGTCAGTCTTCTTTTCTTTTTAATTTAACGTTAGTGTAGAACAAGTGAATAATCTGAGAGAAATACAATTGCTAAGGAGGCAGAGTCTGCATCCTAATACCCTTATGTTACATGAAGTTGTTTTCTAAGTGTGGTGCATTCATTTCTCTCTTCCTTATTCCTTTATTTGTATGATATCCAGTAGCTTTTGGGTTTAGAGGAAACCTGTAAGCACTTAACCAGCTATTTATTCCAACAGAAAGAAAAAACCCAACAAATTAGTAAAATTCTGAAGTCTTAATGCCTTTTTTGTTAAGAAAATCCAATGTAGCTTTCACCTTCTCTGGCTCTTTTGCAGCAGACCAAAAGTATTTCAACATCAGTATTAAAATTACAGACTAGATATATTTTAAGCATAGCTAAACTTCTTATCATTATATGTAATAGTTGCTGGTGGTTTCAACCCGTGTTCCATATCCAGTGGGTGCTTTAACTGCACAGCATCATGTCTGCTGGAGATAGTATTTTGGCGAGGCACGCTCAGAGCTTATCTGCTGGGATAGGCTCTGGTACTTCAAGGATCTTGGTTTGACTTGTCAGTTTGAACTAGGGATCAAAGCAAACGATTTGGCAGCATCATTTCTTAGGCAACTTCACAGACACCCCTTTGCAAATCATAGAATTTCAGACCTCTGAATTAGGCAGCAGCTGAGCTATGAATTTGGAAAGAGATCAATCAGTGATGAAGTTGAGTTCCTCAGCCTCATTAGGCCCTTGAGTGTCTTCTGGGGACATGTTCTGTCTCGCAAAGAGATCAGGTTTTATGACAGCATTTACTCTGTTACTGTGCGTTACACTTCATCACTGTGCAACAGCAGACTTATACTTCATTATTCAAGTACTTGACACAAAACTTGTTGACTGCTTTAAAATATTTTTTGCTTGCTCTTCAGGCTGTCTTATTCCTCTGCTCAAGGCTCTGGTACTATACTGTTATTGACAGGCCCGTTTTCTACAAATACATGGAAAGCCGGTAATCGTGTCAGCAGCTTAGCTTTCTGGAATTCTCAGCTTCAGCTGCCGTGTTGTTAACGAAGTGTAATCCAGATGGCCAGCCAGCTCGCCTAGCTCTTTCACAGTCTGTCTGCAAACTGAATTGCAGATCGTACCCTCAACCTTTTGCTGTCTGGGTTAATGGAACATGGCAGAGGGGATGCACTTTCATGCAAATATAAGAAAAAATGACGACCTAAAGACATCTGTCTCTGCAGGGCACTGAAATGGGAAATAAAGTGTCAGATGTATTATCGTGTCGTGATAATGATTAAAAGTGCTTTTGTCAGCAAAACACAGATTCCAGTCAGATACTCGTTTCCATGCAATAGAACACTACTGGTTACCTAACTAGAAAGTATTTTCATATATGGCATAATGGCTTTCCTATCTTCTATGGTAAGATTGTATGAGTTAGTTTCCTGGAAATTTCTTGATAGTGAACAGTGTGATACACACAAAAACCCACGCCTTCAAATAACTTCATAGAGGAACTTTTGCAACGGACAATTTGGATAGTATAAACTAAAACTGTGATACCTCAGACCCTAAGTTGAAAAACTTCTATGAGAAAGTATCAATTAAAAATGAAAATGTCCATTTTAATGCTGGTTAAACGAAGTACTTTTTTTTTTCTACACTGTGTACAAATCAACATTTCTAGCTTAAAGCATCCTTATTTGTTTCTTCAGTGATAAAAAAAGCTGTGTCCCTTTCGCTGATATGTGAACTTACGGACATGAGTAGTTGTGAGTCGATAAAAGAAGTGTAGCATATGCTTAAGAAACACACAAACCCTCATGTATAGATCACAAACTTAGCTGGTTTTTACTCAGTTGTTCACCATTACATATTATAAAATCCATTGGGAAATTTTGTGCTCTACTGCTTTACTCTCTTTCCGGTGCAATATACTCACTTGTTTAAGGCATGGGTGCATGCACAGGGTTTCAGATCAGGCAGAGGTCAATGGCAGGTCTATTTCTACAGCCAAACTCTACATGAAAATAGGGAAACAACCTTGACTGCGAAACACAAAATAATTGCTTTATGTAACAAAAAGTGCAACTTAAACAGGTTCTTTGTTAGATCAGGACTGTAATGATATAACAAGAAAATTACTCCCATTTGTTTCAAAAGCTACTGAATCAATGAATAATGATTTTCAGGTTTTTTATATCTAGTAAAAATGCCTTTTACCAAGTTTTCTCTATAAAATAACATTGTTCCCGGAAACCTCCTATATTTAAAAATGCTGGAGCTGTTTGTCAAAGCAAATGGGAGATCATAAAGCTTAAGGAAGAGTTCCTACAAAAAAGTTTAGAACAAAAGCTGATTTAAAACCAAATCTCATATAGACACCGAAGGAGTTGGATACAGCAAATGAAGGGACACTTGCTTATAATTCAATATTAAAAGTGGATTTTTTTTTCCTGATAATTAAAAAGTTGTAATGTCTTAACAGTTGTGAGATTCATTTAAATAACTGAGCATGTAACTGTGGTTCAGTGTAATAGAACAGATAAAAGACTTGCTCCCAAACATTGTGTTAGTAACACTGGAGTATTCAGATCTCTGCAAAGGGAGTAACGCTGTTCCTGACCTAGATAAGGATTTGAGGTTAAAATACAGTTTTCTTCTGATCACTGAAGGAGACATGAGTATTTGCTGGTTTTAATAAGACGTTTTATTCTTCCAGGATAAATAAGTTGTAAAGTCAGAGTAATAGCGTATAGGAGGGAGTCCTTGTTGGATAGTAAGTTAGTTCAGTGCATTAAAAACAATCCTGCATCTTCTCCTTCCAGGAAAGATACTGTACTTCAGTTATGAAAAATCAGAATGTTTAGGTTTATTCTTTAACCGCCTTTTTTTACCTCAGGGTATTTGCTTTCATTTGGTTACATTTCTCTTAGTGTTTCTCTCATTCTTTTCATATTGTATATGGACGGAAAATGGTCTAATAGTTTCGCTATGTTCTACTATGGTTTTTTTTTGTTTATTTTAAAATACAGTTTTTATCAAATTCAGGTTTTCCATGAGAAGATTGTTTTCCCGACACTTAGTTTTAAAAACCTCCTTTTTGGCATGGTGAATCAGTTCAAGATTACAACTGAACACAGATTTCATCTGAAATGGTGCAGTTAGGGGTTATCTAATTAATTCTGGTCTGCCTGAACTTCTGTAAATTGTTGGTTCTTCTTTATGGTCTGGATTTTGTGTCTGAACTGTGTTTCCCATGATACAATGTCTTTTTTTCACCTTGTACAAGGTGGTGGCACACAGGGTGGAGCTCGTCAAACCATAGAATAAAACGGGAAAATGAACAACAGATTCCTATGGAGATTATAATAAATTTTAAAAAGTATTTTAATACTTTGAAGTATTTAATTTGTGTCTAGTGTTTTGCATTTTTCAGAAATTAATTTTGGAGTTTCAAAGTAGACATGTCAACACCACAATTCCCTATGGGGCAGAAATAGCTTTTTATTCGTTTTCTGCCCCAAACAACTCTACTTGTGGCTTATTGCAAAGTCAAGAAAGGTAACAAGTAGCAGTCATTTCAAACAATAAATATGGCCAAAATTCCAAGTATGTAATTAAACTGGAAAATTAGTCTTAGTTCTGGGCCAGAACACTTATCAACTGAGGATGTCTAGGTAACAATGCCAAGTAGAAGGAGCTCCTTTCGAATTTTCAGTGCAGTGATTTGAAGGAGCACGTTACTAATTTTTAGAACAATTCAGTTGTGTTCATTAGCACCGCTCTGTCACAAAATGCGTTTCAGAGTATACAAAAGTAGTTATATTTCATATGATTTGTAATCTTTTGTAAATTTCTACAGTGTATAGTAATGCGAATGCTTGTCATGTTCTGACTATGCTGAATTTTGCAAAATTAAGTTTAATATATGTGCAGAACAATTTTTAAAAGTTTTCAGTTAGAAACATGTAGTGGCAAGCATGGTTTGTACAAAATTTTGTCATGAAGAAAAACTTGAAGCAGGGGCTGACTGAAAATGAGTTTCCAATTTAAAAAGGTGTAGGGAGACACTTGTGTAATTGGGAGAACAGTTCACTGTAATGCTAATGAGGAAAGTTGATCCTTTTGGTATTTTCCTTAATAAACGGACAGATCTGTGTTATTTCAGTCAAGACGAGGCTGTTTGTCCTTACACAAAGTCATAATGCTCTTGCTATGAATTTATAGTGGTATCACAAGTCATGTAATATCTGAAAAACAGTCTTGCCTTTTGTTTAATCAAGAACAGCTTGGCCACTTAAAGCCATGAAAAAAATAGGGCTCAGAGGGAGGTGGGGAAGGTGCCTCAAGCAAAAACAATTGTGGCGTCAAGCACTGCTGCCTTATGATTCGCTTCATCATTACTTCCAGCTGAGGTTTGTCTAATGGTAAATCTGGAAGTAGAAGAGCATCTGCTCCACATTTTAATAGTGACCTGTAATGAAAAAACAACTGAGCATGACTTCGTTTTATGAAGGCCTAGTTTTTTAAATACTAATAATAATCTGAGTTGGTTTAATAGCTGTGTTTTATAAAATCTCTTCTACTATAAATGAGAAAAATCTTATTGTTGAAAACACCATTTATCTCTACTGGGGTAATAATACTCCAATTCCCGATGTAATGGTACTCCACTTCAAGTGCTCTGTGATCTAGCCCTGCCCAGTGCGTTATGTGGCCGACTGGAGGAATACTGCCCTCAGTCAGGAACACGAGCCCTGCTGGCTGCTTGGACTTGCAGCCTCAATGAGTTAGTGTCCTGATCTTCTCCCTCCTCCTCCCAGCCAATTACTCATACTGCTGTCATCAGGCAGATCAGTACCTGCTTTGTTTTTCAAAAATGTGATCATTTCTGCCTCTGTTGATGACATTGCAGCGTTACATAAAGGCATTACAGCAAGATTAAAAGGCCTTCGGAGCCTGCAAAAGAAAAAAGCTGAGTAGTTACTGAATGGCCCCGAAAACCTGATAAATTTTATAACTGTCATTATTGTGCAATGGCAATAGCAAGCTAAACTACAAAGGTTTACCTTTAATTTGCAAGTCAAATGTGAATCACAGTCATTTAAGCATTGCAGTAATTAGAGGTGATTGATATGAATCTTGAACCTGAAGGACAGTTACTTTGTTTAGAGAGGAAATTAGAAGATTAGAAGTGAAATACTGCAGTTCTGTTGGAACTTGGGGAAACAGATACTGCAAGAAAAACATGCAGTAAAAGCTATGGCAGATTACAGACTATTGAATTGACAGTTGTTGGCTGAGCCATTCTGGTGCATACTGAAATCTAAATTATGTCTGAAGTTGAGTGGAAAAGGGATTATAAAGCTAGCTATAAATGACAGAAACAGGATGACTGAAAAAGGTAATATCAATGCATTATTGGAAGCTGAAGAGTAATTTTTTTTTTTTTTATTCTGATGTTTGCTAAAAAGGACTTGTACAACCTGAAATTTAATTCTAGGAAGGAGAAAGCCATTACCTGAAAATGCATGTACCAGTTACGCAAATCTCTTGATTACATACACGGGTAAGAGACCTGGTTCAGCAACAGCTTTACAGTAAGTGTATCGTACATTTATTTCAGGGTCCTCTCTAAGCAGAGACCCACAATTGCCCGGGGCAGCAGACTGCTGCAGGGAGAAAAAAGGCCATTGCCCAGGTGCATCTTTGCCAGTAGCAGAGCTGGCAGGCAGGACGCAGCCAGCCGGTGCCAGCGCCCCAGAGGGGCTCTAGCCCCTGCTGCAGGGAGCCCTCCTGGGAGCGGGTGGCCCCTGCCATCCCTTGGTAACTCCGGTGAGCACAGAAGCAGAAAGCCTGGGCTCGCCTTCCCGGGCTTGCCCTTTCCCTATTCCCACACCTGCAACTGCCATCTCATTGTGGTGGCAAAATTAATTTTTTTTACTATGCTGTTGGTAAGTTTGAAGAAAGTGTTAGTTTCTTTAAGTATTTTTTTACAAATAACTGTAAGGACTGATAATGTTTTATCTTTCTACTGAACTCTTCTCTCTGGTGTGTTTGTATTGGTATAGAAATGGGATATTTCAGAGAGATGTGAAACCAGAGAACGTTAATAAAGGTAATTAATTTTATGTGAGAATATTTAACTGAAAGTGAAGTATATCAGTATTTTTCTCTTTACCCTGAGGTTTCTTCATGAATAAAAGTACATTTTAAAAAAATATATAGACAGTTACCTCTAATACCGTATTCCTGATCTAGAGGAATGAACAAGCAAGTTTGTTCTTGGCTAAAACCTGAAATGATCGGATGCGTCACAGCCTGCATGTGTTCACTCCAATCTAAAAACCTGTTCTATATCCCCTATTAATATATATTTTCCTTTCTGTGTTAACCTAGAAACAAGCAGTGGGGTTCAGTTCTGCAGCTCGCTCTTTCTACAGTCAGTTCCTACCTTTACGGGATGTTATTCGTACAAAAGCGAGCAGAGGGTATTAGCTGTCAGAAGATTCTCCATTGAAATCTATTCTGGCAGTTTCAGAATGTTATTTTGCTAATGTCTGAAAAGCAAGGATTTCAAAATTCAGTTTATGAAATTTTATTTTCTGGAGATAAATTTTTCTTTTAAGTCTTAGAAGTGTACAGGAGAAGCCATTACAAAGAGAAGCCAAAGCCACCTATTATATCGCTGCTAAACACAAGAACTCTTAAGAAAATAAATCCAGGTGCCGTGTTTAGCAGTCTTCCCTCCAGTAATAGTCCATGTGCTTTTCAATTTACTCTTAGGTCTTTCTTTTAATGATATACAGAACGGTATTTGCACATATTATGGGACACAAGCCTGGAGCCAATTGCTGTTTAAATGCTGTAATACTACCGCTGGGGTTTCTGAAAGTTTATTCTTAAAGTAATCTGTGATTTCTTTTATGATGACTACTTCACACATTTAAGGAAAATCTTTGCTTGAATATTTCAGTGTTTCTAATTTATGTCAAAACACTTTATTTATTTTTGCAGCCCAATACCCTGCAGTCAGGAGATTTTGGATCTTGTAGGAGTATCTATTATAAGCAGCCGCGTACGGAATATATCTCCACACACTGGTACCGAGCACCTGAATGCTTACTTACAAATGGCTGCTAGAGTTACCAAATGGTATGTGGGGTGCTGGCTGTGTTTTCCATGAAATCACAAGGTACAGTGTTCAGTGGAGGGTTTTGCTTATCACTAACGAAGAAAAACAAAGGTAAATAACTCAAATAAGGAGCACGTGGTGTGGGTAATACGATCTTTGCTTCCATGGTTTTGTGGAAGCTGCTTCTGTGATTAGTCTGCAGGGTTCATGAGGCAGTAATCCTCTCTTGTCTGGCACTCCTCACCCTATGGCAGGTTAGTAATAAAGCAGTGGGATGTTCAAGAGAGCATAGTACCAAGAAAAAATTATTTTCAAGGAAAAGAACATTTTTGAACAGTTTGTTGTTTTGTTGTTTGTTTGGGTTCTGCTGCCCCCCCCGCCCCCATTGGCTTCATATTTGAGTTTGGTAAAAATGTATTTTCTCTGCTGTATCTCTGAAGAGAGTACGGCTCATTTCCACTCATGAGCATCATTGACTGTCCTAAATCTTGTTAATGCCCTTGATAGGAAAATTTTTCCCTCTTTTTTTTTTTTTGACTCACCATTCTGCAAAACCAGAGAGGCTTAGAGAAGACACTCCCTCTGATTTACTACTTTGATTTATAATAAGATGTGTTTAAGATGCTTGTGCCAGGACCTTATATAGTCCTAGAATATTTTGAAGTCCGATTCTGATGAAGGAAGAGCTCAGGAAAACCCAGATTAAAGTCCTTTAAGCTTTTTGATGACAATGAAGCTATAACACAAAAAATTTGTCGCTGGTCTTCAAGAAAAAAGGGAATATAACCGCCATGAGTATTTCTCCAATATCTTTGTGCCCTAGCAACAGCAGCAGCTCTTCTTTATTCTCCTCCCACACTGCTGTCTCTGATATGCAACCAGGAGTGATAACATTTGCTTTGCTTTTTTCCTCCTCCTCCACATGGCAAGTGCAGCTGCTGCCATCGCCATCACATTAAATGACAACCCTTATGCTTTGCCTGCTAACTTGTAGAAACAGTTCTACTTCGGTCAGAAAACTGTTAACAGAAAAATCCCAAATGTGGCAGTTCTCCTGCAAAGTAAATTGGGACCAAGAGCTTTAAAAATGCTATGCTTTTCCATTTCAATTTGAATCAGGTGGGCTTTGAAGTTTGGCAAGAAGATTACACGCTGCAAACTTAAGTTTTCTTAGGGCGAAAAACCTTAAAGATATTTCCTTGTAATTTTAGCTCAATGTAACAAATTTCATTCTTTGCAACCACTGCACATTTTCAGAGACCTGATAGATGTGTTCAGAGAGAAATGGGGGATGTTTATTGGAAATTACCGAATTAGAAAAGATATGGTCTTGCCAAGCTAAAGGAAGTTATGGACTGGTTTGTTTCTTTTTAAGTGCATCTTGCAGTCTTTGCTGTTGAACGTTTGCGTAAGCCTTTATGCCTTACAACACATTGTGTAAGAATTTTTAGTCTTTTACTCAGCCATGCTTATCTTTCAAGTCTTGGCCTCCCTCTTTCTGTTCCTTATAAATCATGGTTCCTGGATGGCATTTTTGTGTGGATAGCACGGTTGTTCTTTACTATGTTAGAGTTTTATATTTAGAGACAGCACATTTTTGTAGTTCACACAAAAGCTACCCCCAACTGCTTGTCTTGATATAGTTGCTCAACATGAATCAGATCTCTTTTCTCTCCTTCCTCTACTCAAAGCTTTAAGAAGACATTCAGCGAAGTGTGCAGCTAGCTGTTTGATTGAATTTGCAAACAGTTAAAACGAGTTTCCACTGTCTACAAAGGGGGCTGAGTGTTTTGCTTTCAGTAATCATGTGGTGCTACTGAAGTGTTTCTTAAATTATAAGTCAAAGAAATGTTCTAATACAGAAAAAAGCGACATGTGCAGGAAACCAATGTTAGTGGACCTAACCTGTTATGTCAGATTGCTCTGCTGTGGTAACGGTGTCTTCAAGGACTCTATGCACGTTTCATATTGACTGTGGATCAAGCTCAGGAACACAGTTCGAATTACCATATTTCCAGTATTGCTGCTTGCAAGGAACCTGTGTGTTAGGAATGGAATGTTTCTTATATATGTCTATGTGCATACACAGCAAGAGGGACTGCTTGACTCTGCTGTCTTGGAATGAGGAAAACACATTGTCTTCTGGGATCTGCTGCTTCACTAGAAGAAAACACAGTCTGATAACCACTGCCTTTCACCAGGAGGGAAGTTCTCTTTAATATTTTACCCCAAACCTGTGAGGAGAGGGCAACTACAGGTTTCTGCGTAATAACCCAAACTACTGTTTCCATCCAAGCACACAGTTGTATTGCTCTGCTTCTCACGTGTTATCCTTCAGTTATTGCTTGGTATTAAACTGTCCACCAATGAGTAATTCTGAAATGTATCTTCCTCATAAATGAAAACTTTTTAACCAAAGTGGCAGCTATGCCACTTAATCTAGTTTAACTGTGCCTTCTCCACTGCTAATGCCATCTCTTGCCTTGCAGTTTTGAGCCTGTCCTTCCTGGATCCAATGTGCTGGACCAAATTTCAAAAATCCATCACGTTATAGGCACTCCTGCTACCAAGACTCTCCACCAGGTCAAGCAGTAAGTACGCACTCCCGTAGTTATTCATCAGTACGATATTACTGTGCAACCGTGTGCAACTTCTGCTCAGGGAACCACCGCAACAATCTAATTCTGTTGTGACGGCTGCTGACCAAAGAGCGGTGTCGGCTGTCCCTACCCAGAGACAGTCACACATTCATGATCCCTGTAGGCAGAGCAGAGAAATCTGAGCCTGTTTTCAATCTATTTGGCCTTTTATTTCCATAGTATCTTTAAGGCCAGTGACATAACTTGTTAGGAAAGAAAACATCTTTTTTCCTAATTATTACTTACTTGTCCCTGATAAAGGATTACCTACATCAGATGAGAATTTCTTTTTCAGTAAATTGTAATTCTCTTTGAATGTGCATGAATAACTGTTCTCAACTTGTTTAACACAGGTCAAGAATTGTGAGTTTTGATTTCCCCTTTAAAAAAGGCAAAGGAATACCTCCCACTGTGCATAATTTGTCTCCCAAAGGCTTCTCTCTCTCTCCTCTATGCAATGATAAAATATGATCCCGATGAGAGAATTGCTGCCCATCAAGCATTACAGCACCCTTATTTTCAAGAACCCTGGCAAGTGACTTCAAATCACTTCCATCTTGAAGATTAAAATTAAAAGTGGGGGGAGTGCTGTGGCTTATTATTTAAAGTGGACTTAAACGACGTTTGCTTACAGTGCTAGTACTTCACTGGCAATGAATGAACGTAGTTCAGCCAGCATAATTCTTTGCTTCAAGTCCAGACTTCAGCTAAAGCACAACAGATGTTTTTCTCTTCCTTTTTTTTTTTCCCCCCCTAAACTTTTTCGGGCAGCTGATAGACAAGCTTTAGCCATGCACAAAAATTTCAGATTACTAGGAAATACGTCAGGGCAAGTACCTCTGCATTTGTGGCAAACTTCAAAGGAAAGTCAAAGACAGGCAATATTTAACTGGAAGAACTGTCAGCCCATTCAGAGAAAGTAATTCGTGGCACTGAGCTTGTTAGCTAGAAACAAATGTTTCACCTAAGCTGATTACTTGGTTTTATTCAGTCTGTCTAAACACTGACCTTTATTTCGTCTGATAGAGTTCCCCACTCCCTCCAAAGCCCTGAAACCCCTGAGTTGGAATCCAGAAGCTTTGATACCACATAATCCCTCCAGTAGACTCTTGTCACACTGGGTATTACTTAAAGGGTCAGTTCCACTTTTTTTTTTTAAGTATCATCATCCTCTTTTTGCTGTCTGCCTTTGAGTTAAAGGGTTTCAGAAGTTGTAGCACAGATAGAAAGTCTACTTTTGCCTTTTCAGGCCTTCAGTCTACATTTTGAGCAAATAATAATTATTTTTTAAAACTTAATTATCATCCTGTATGTAGATGATATCTGGGAAAATCCTAAACTTGTAATTGACACCGGAAATCAAGACATTAATATCTGATTAAAAATTCTGGCAAATTAAAACTTTGTTTATATTCAAGCTATGTGAAAAATACTCTACATATTCACTTTTAAGGGTTCGCCGTATCTGCAAGGTGAGACGGAAGTTAGTACTACATGAAAAACTCTCAAATACAAGTTTTTCTCAAAAAAACAAATGAGAGTAGCAAAACCATTATAAATTCATTTCTGCTGTGCATTTAACCTTGAAAGCATGAACTCTCCTTCCATACGAGCAGCCACTTTTTCCACCAGTTCAGTTCTGATGTTCATCAATGTAGGTTTTGTAAGAAGCTCCTTCAGGAAAAATTGCAAGAAACACCAAGTGAGGCAGTAATTTAAAAAAAAAAAGAATTAGCTGAAGTAGTATATAGCTGAGTTGTTTTGTTTGTTTTTTTTTTTTTTTTTCTGATTAATTGGATTTTCTTTTTTAATTTTATTCCTTAAGATGTTCTCAGAAATAAATTGAATCTTGTTTCTGTCTTTCAAAAGCATTCTTTTAGGAAAATCCAGGAAAAAACCCAAACCAACATGGACTTCCTCATGGAGAATTATCAAAATTAAATCCTTCTGGAGTAGCCACATTGACTCCCTGTTCTGCTCCTCCGTTGCATTCAGTTTTCTGGGCACCTCAGGAGAGGGGTGAAACCCCATGTGTTACAGTCTGTTAGATGTATTGGATCAAATACCGAGGTACGGACTCTAACTTTCCTCTTAGAGTGGAATAGCAAAATGTGTTTGACAGAGAGTATTTCAAACTTCTTTCCTCAACAGTCTGAGAAACAGGGGGCACTGAAACATTTCCACTTACCTGCTCTAGAGCGAAGAGGGGGAGGTTACTGACCACCTTGTAGTGTTTGGCGTGTGAGGAAAAGCATGACTAAGCAGTGAGAGAGACCAAATCGTCCCTCCGTTGTCAGAGGTCTAACAAGAACAGCAGTGCCGCATTTTGTGGTTCTCTGACAACGGGCAGGAAAACCCCAGAAGGTTACGAGGGCCGCTCGCCTGCCGTTTTGGTATTCTGCTCCTGAAGGGCATCGGTATTCCATTGCCGCATCGCTCGGGCAGCGCTCAGAGAGCACTCTGTATTCAGCTTCCCAAGTCTCTTTTCCTTTTAGAACCTGATGGAGGAGGAGGTTGGCTAAAAATAACATGAAAGGATTCTTTGAGCTTCAGTATTAGGAATGGAATGTTATCTACAAAATACAAGTTTTCATATTATATTATAAATGACAGCTAACTTCTGGATACTTTTCAGATGTAAAAAAATCTTATTTTTCAGTCAACTCGGGAAAGTATTTGCCTTCCGTGTTCAGTAGCTTCAAGTTTTATTGAGAATGTGCAGATTGTGCAATCATAGGAGATACTTTATTTTGATGCAGTTTCTGTAACTGCTGAATGTTTTTATATAACTACAGTCTAGCTAAAAGCTAAAGCAACTTTTAATCTGATTCAAAAGCAAATAAAATTGAGTCAGTTTTCTTCAAGCCATTGATCTTAATATTAATCAAAAGTTCTAACAGTGACTGATAGTGCAGCGAGTTGCCTGAAAGAGCAGTACAGGCGCGTATGGTACCGTGTTTCAGAAGTTTTGCACACAGATCATCAGTAACGATTTAACATCACGTTACTGCTTCCTAGTGCTATAAAAGGTGAGAGTTAAAAGGCAGCATTTCTTACTTGGAAAGAGTAGTTATTGCAATTTGATACCATTGATGTTAAAACTCCTGAGATCTCCTAACAATTTGCAATAATTAATTTGCAGTATTTAAATTTGGTGGTGTGTTACAAAACAGTTTTGCTATTTAAAAACCAAATGAGTTTCTGCAAGTCGTACTTAGTTGGGGGGTCTAAAAATCTTCTGCCCACAAAGTAGGCATGTGAGACAGGTTTAGCAAATAACTTTTGGTTTTTAATATTTCTAGAAGTTACTTTGTTGATAATTGGGAAGTGATCAGCTTTTTTTCCAGTAACCAAACACCTCTGGGGCGGCTGCTGCTGTTCAAAATTTTCTGTGCAACAAAAAAGTGAAAACCAAGCAGTGAGAAGGCAGGCGAGGGGCATGTCGTCTTAGAGGTCACTGCTGCGCATGAGGCAGTATGAAAAAACGCCCTGTGCAGCAGATCCTGTTCAACTCACTAAGCCAACCCTTAGGCATCAATTTGAGATTCAGGCTCTAAATCCAGGCAAACTGTTTGTTCTAATCAGTTAAGCTGCAGCTCAAACAATGCAGTAAAATACACATTAACATGAAGATTTTATAAAAATAATAGTTATCTAGAGTAAAAGTTATGCCCATCATGCTCTGAGCTCTCCTGAGATGTTATTAGGCATTTGTGAAAATAACAATTCTTCTCATTCAATTAGCGGTTTTCCAGTAGGTGGCTTTTTTGTTGGGTTTTTTGGTTGGCTGGTTGGGTTTTTAAGAATCAGCATCTCAACACCCGTAGGATTCTGTTGTGACTGCATTAGATCCTATTCCTCGTTCTACCATTCAGCTTCCGGATAGCTTCAAGCACGCCCAAATTCCACACTGCAGCTTTTCAGTGTGGGGACGCGTATGAGACTCGAGTTCTTTATGAATCCTTTTGAGATCTACTGCTTAAAAGCACTTGTCTGTCTTATATTTATCTTCATGTTTTGAAGTGGGTATTATTTTCACATACCGTACTGAGGATCAACGTGACATTTACTTGCAGATTTTTTTTTTTAAATGTGAAAATATTATCAGGCTAAATGTTTGTGGTACATACTGTGGGAGTCATTTTTTGGTATTGATTCAAATTTGACTATCCAAGTTGAATATCTTGCACCTGCATCATGGCCTACTGTACCTTTGCTCATTTTATTCCATTTCTTCATAGCAAACTTTCAGAATCTCAATAGCAAGAATGGAAAAACATCCCAGCCCAGGCAAGAATTCTTGTAAAATAAGGCTATACACATGAACAAGGCTCTGCGGGGAAACCTGCACAACTGCTACTCATCCTAAGTATGCCAGAGGGACAGCAGATTTCTCTTACTAGGAGTGAACAAATACATAAGCAGAGGTTTAGTGGGGGAAGTGTTCTACACCAGTAGAGAGAGAACAACATAATAAAGGGAGAATTAAACAGCAGAACATAACAGTATAGCTAACTGCTCTGTCTCATTTTATTGACACTTACACCGGATGGATGCTGTCTCTCCTCCAGTTCCAAGCAGAAAATATGCTCCTGACCATGGTATCCCAAAGTGCAGTACATAAAGACAGAGGGAGTTCCTGGCTTTTACTGCTCTGTTACAGTTAATCATCTGCCCCCACTTCATCATGCTTTTGTGTTAGCAGCTCATGCTGACAGAACAGATACAGAACTTCAGCCATAAGGCAATACAATTATTTGTTTGAATACCTAGCATAGGTTTCTATATATTTATTTTATATCTATTTTTATATATAAATGGAAGGTGTGATGCTAAGCTTAGGAAATGGAATTAAGGACTGCAGCTCTGCAGGCAACACAGCGGAACAGTAACCTCTGACTTCTTACTTTGGAACTCTCAGCAAAAGGTGCCATGAGCTTGTCGAGTGTTTTTTCCAGAGAGGAGGATGGTGAGTTGCTTGGTGCCAATATATCTGAAATTGGGCATGGTGTGCACCAGTAAAAATGATGGTCTAAAACCAGGTAACATATTGTATCTGAGGGATCTTGCTCTCCACAGTTATTGATTTCTTACAAGATGAAAAAAAAGGGACAAATCCTACTACCCACGTTTGACTGATCATACAGACTCGGCGCTCTCTTACTAGCGTGCTACAGTAGGCTAAGGCTTCTGTCATCAAGAGTATGTTCCTGATGGAGACAAGTTAATTGTACTGGTAGCTTCCCATAATGTTTTTCTAGAAACCTCAAACCCCAGATGCTGAAGTTGAAATATTTCAGCTTTTCAACTAAAAATAAAGTGCCCTCCAATTGTGTACGCACAAGATACTTTCCTGTTTTCAAAAGTGTGACTGCAACTGTGGCTTCTGTCATTGATACATCAGGTAGGTAATTACTCATACACCAGGGAAGTGGTTGGGTTTTTTTTGAGAAAGATGGTCACAATTTCTGTTAGCCTTTTCTCTCCAAGTTAAAACTTATCGGAGTAATATCTTGTATGTTACCAGCAGTTCTCTCGCACGTACTCTGTCTGGGGCTGTCAGGCTGTTACCATGAAAAAGGCACATTCACATTCAGCAGATTGATGGGTTTTGCTATGAAAACTGGAAATTTGAAGTGAAGGACCACATTGGAGTTTTTCTTTATTTTATGCTTTCAGGTGGATCTTACACAGTTGGGCACATACAGTGCTTCACGGGTATTTATTTCATAACAAGTTCTTTGCCATTATACCTCTGGAGACAACTCACACTTCTCTGGCTGATGGATTAGTAGGCAAAATTGAGTTTTCCCACCTGCTTTATAGTTAAAATACACTCAACTTTAAACTACCACCTGGCAAGGATTGTTTCTACCCTCCTTCTTCCCACTAAAATTCCATATTGAGATGACCTGTGTTCCACTTGCTTTTAAATTTTTTTAACATAGTAGGAAAAAGTTATTTATTAAGAGCTGTATCTATAGTAGAACTTTTCTTTCCGGGTAAGTTATTAGTGTCCCTTTTCTTCCTAAAATAATTTTTTTTCTGTATGGAATAAAGGATGGGAGGGGCCAGTCAAGCTCATAGGTGATTGCCTGACAGTAAAGAGGCTGAAAAAAGAAAAACCACATCCGTGCCTTGTAGGCTGTTGGATCTATGACTTGTAGCAGGGATATACTCTGCAAACGCATATGCAAGTAGCTGCTATTGCTGCCCTAATGTGGGTACTATGGTTCTTTCCGTACTGGTTCTATGTTTTTCCAGCCGAAGGAAAAAAAGTCTTTTAAAGCTATTATGTATTTTCTCAACTGTTTCAGTTTTGTGACTCAGACCGCATGAAGCACTTACATAAAAGAAGTCTACAGGGAGATAACTAGTTTTCAGTGATGAGGTTTATCTGTATTTTAACAGTTAAACCCACTACGTTAATAAAACAAAACTTCTGAACAATAATCCTGCTCAGTTTCAGTATTTTCTCCATTCCTCATATTTTAGAAGAATGCAAGTAGGTAAGAATTATGAAGTACAGCTCCACCTTTATTAAAGTAGACAATCGAATTGCCAGCTTATAAGCGTAGCTGGCAGTTTCCTACACGCTAGCTGCATTACAAGAACTACTGAAAACAGTGAAGTGTTCTGTTGCCGAATGATTAAAAACAACGTGTGTTCAGGCAAGCGGCACTGAACTGTACAAAGAGATGGGTACGTCTGTCTCCGTAGCACTGAGCAGTTTAAGAGCGCTGAATTATAAATGAGGTGCCTGATGTAAGACAAACAAGTTGTCTCAGGAACGCATCTGCTCCGATGTGTTGACCCGATTTCAGACTGCCAAGTCAGAGTGTGGGTACAGCTGCTGCGGCTGGATCTTTCCCTTCACAACTCCCGAGACAAACATACGGGACGATGTGATGACAAAATCCTTACCCCACAAAGTTGTCTGTCTGCAAGATTTCCACCGTATGATGTATGTAGAGATAAACCATTAAGAACAAGAACAGAACATGTTATTTCACTTCCCTAACTGGAATTCAACTGTATTAAATATTAGCAATGTTTGAAAGGAAGTTGTTCTACAAAGTTTAGATGATATTTCTGTACCAAACATTTAATTCAACAAAGGATTGATTACATCAAAAGTGATTGAATTTGAACAGAAAGTAAACAAAAATGCATATTCAAGATAGTTTAATATGTATTTTCTGAATTAGAAATATCAATTT